CTGTCCTCAGATACCCGTCAAGCTGTCATGCAGAAAACCGGAACAGAAATAGTGGGGTTAATTAACAAGGAAATATATTTTGGTTGAATGTCAAAAGAAAATCCTAACAATAATGGTTCTTCAACAGTGGTGTGGAATTACTTGGGAGATGGTGTTCTCTGCCACAGGTGTTTAAACAGAAGCTGGATGGCCATCTGTTGAGGATGGAATAGTAATGGATTCTTGCCATAAGCAGGTGGCTGGGCAAAATTATATTTTAAGATTCCTTCCAGTGCTTGTTATAATTTACAGGGAATCCTTGCTTAACAATGATAATTGAGATTGGCATTTTTGTTTCTGAGTGATATAGTCATAAAGGCAATCCTGGCAGTCCCAGCTGCTGTCATTAAGCAGGGATGCTGCTACAGCCAGAACTTTGAGGCCTGGATGAAAGTACCATTTGTTCAATGTCATTGCATCTTCAAACAGTCATTGGACAAGTAGTTAACCAAGGATTACCTGTAACTTAATATTCCATGATATTATAATTATCATATCGCTAAAGTATAGATTGAAAGACTTATTTACAGTTTATGCAAAAGATTAAGTACCCCAAGTCAAATTAGATATTTTCCTAAATCAACAGAACCATTACATGGTGCAAAGTTAAATACAGTGTCCTTCTCTGTCCTTGAGTGCATATTTTCTATTTATGTGCAGTTGTTTACACTTTCAAAATCAGCAACAGTGAACAGTGATAAAAAATGATAGAGGTTGAATGTTTTACCAGACAGAGAAAAACCAGTTGCTAACATATTGAACAGTAGAAAAATAAGCCATCAGTATCTTAAGTCCTTTATTAATTATAAATCAAGAAGTAGGCAGGGGATAGAATATCTATATAGGACCGTATGTCAACTTCATTAAATGCATGCATACTTATTTAGAAAAAACTTAGTTATATAATAAGTAGAGAGAAAAACTTTTTGTCACTCCGCAATTTACAATTGCAAATGGTTGCTCTTATATCAAATGGATAGCAGAAGAGGGAGTAATGAAATATTGTATTCTTTCTGTAAATTAGGCTTGCTGGGAAAGAAATTCGATGTCTGTATAATAAAGATGACAAATTCTGAAATAATGTATTGTATTCTCTTGAGAATCTACAAAAAGCCTGGTCTGCACATGACAGTAAATTGTAATGTTGCATCCATACTTTATACAAAATCAGAAAGTAACCAGCAACATGATGGCTTAATAAGATAAAGTGAACGGAAATGGATTTTTTTTTACTCAATCTCTTTGATTTAATAGATTCTTCAATCTTTGTTTGGCTGATTAAACTCTTCATACCTATGTTTGATATAGTATTAATATTTATGAAGGATCTCTGGTATTCTGATTCTTGTAATGATGTTCTTGATAGTCCAGGTTTCAGCTGTGGAGGTATACACGCCGCAAGACTTTGTTGTGGAGAATGGGACTGAAGCAAAGCTTCCATGCACTTTTACTTCCACAGAAGTGATCAGCAGTTTAGCTTCTGTCGCCTGGAGTTTCCAAGGCGAGGGATCATCATCTCTTGTCTCGGTAAGATATTGTTTGCAAAAGAAAATTGTAAGAAGTAAAAAGCCCTGCCTGTTCTTGCTTGCTCCTTGTACTACTAAAAGCCTGATTGTTCCCTTGAAATATTGGTTAAGATATTAATTGTATTTTGCTCCAAAATTGGTTGCTACCAAAAGCCTTGCTTAGATGAGGAAATGCTTTAACCCACTTCACCTGCTTGGTTAGTTATCTTTTATCTTAATATGATGGTAAAATAAAAAATTGATACCAGAGGGAAATCATGTAATAGTAATAATTATCAGTTCAGTAGTTTGGGGGGGAAAAAACAGAATTGAGGAAAGTGAGGCATAGCAAGATACCTGAGCTCCTGGAATTACTCTGAAACCTTTAAAATTCTTGTGATATTATGTGTAAAATATTTCTCTGACCTTTCAACTGGTTTAAAACCAGCTTTACAGGCTCTCAAGTAGAGTATTATCATTGTCACTCTTGCACTGGTTTGAAATTCATATATTGTATGAGTTGAGTTTTAAACAAATTTAGATTAGTTAAGAAATAGGGGAAAGCAGGTTTTTAATACAGCATATTTTTGTGTTTTTGATTATAGTTCTTCTATTATTCCAATGGAAAAGCATATCCTGGGAAGAAAACACAATTTGATGACAGAAGCAGCTGGGCTGGAGACCTTAACAGAAAAGATGCATCAATCACTATAGCAAACATGCAATTTCAGGACAATGGAACCTATATTTGTGATGTAAAAAACCCTCCAGATATAGTTGTTACACCAGGAAAAATCAAAGTCAGGGTTATGGAGAAAGGTATAGTAATAAGTGGCTGGAATGAAAAATTAATTAATGAGTGATGGAGAAGTTGTGCATAAGTTGCATTCTTTCTCTAAAATTACTGTATGTAACAATGCGCTGAAGCAAGTACTTGTTTGGCTATTCTGCTGCATTTTATTCCATTATTTTATTCTGAACAGTGGAGTAGAAATTTCACCAGCATTTTACTGTAATAAAGGTCATGGAATAACTTAGAATAAGTTAATGGCAAAAGCCAAAGTTCTGTGTTCATCTGTGATTTTTGGAATGAATTACAAATACACTTTCAGCTCCCAATGTAGCTTAATAATTTACATTTAAATAAGTACAAAATGGTCTTTTCAAAAGCTAGATTAAATGTGTTGCCATCAAATATGCTATGTAGTAGATGTCAAAAGGTTCCAAAAGATTTGTCAAAGATTTTGTCATGTAATAGTATTAACTATTATATTGGTTTTTGAAAGAGTTTTTGGCAGTATATTTATCTGGTGTATTTTAAAATCAAGACCAGTAAAGGATATGTTTGAAGATGTTAACATTTTACCTAGAAAAATCTTAAAATTAGAGCAGCAGCAGCTAACTTTTTAACTATGGCCATAAAAACAAGGTCTTTAGTAACGTATTGATAAGACTGAGTTTGTTTGATGTAATACTTATCAATTTTATTTGTTAAACTGTTTTATTTAATACCAAATTTTAGATTATGCTTGTATTTTGCCATTTGGATCTTTTGGCCATAAATAAAGCTATATATAAATTTACCAAGAAAAATCAACAAACTTCAGAGTTTCTATATCAGTGCCTCCGAAACCTAGGTAAATTACCCAAACTTGGTAAAAGTTTTTCTTTGGGTAATGACGTATGAACCTATTGCCCAACACAAGAACATTTAAATTGAGTTAAATATTGCCTAAAATATATATGAAAATCTTCCAAAGTATTCCTATTAAGACAGTCAATGAAATTACCAATGATAAAGATCATTAAGTGATACTGTTTTTATAATATAAGTAGTCCCTGAGTTGAGAGTATTCATTCATTCAGTGAATACTCTGAATGCAGGGATTTGTGACCAGTCCTTAAAGTTTGATTAGACTTTCTGATAAGCAGTTTTGGGTAATGAAGGAAAAAGAATGGGAAGCACTGATCTAATGACTGTTTTATCTGAAAGAAGAGTCCATTGGATGGAGTGAGAGATTCTTTATGTGGAAAGTCCTAAAGTAATGTTTGTGTTATATAGCAGAAACATCTTCATAAAAATATACATATTTTCAACTCTGAGGAATATGACGTTCTTATTGACTCATGCTGTTCTCTGATATACCTAAAATTGTTTCCTGATATATCTAGCTATCTGCCAAACTCAGATTAACTAGCAAGGGAGCTAGCAAGCTGTCAGTTTGAAAATTATTACTAAAGACTAATTTCATTCCTAAAGAGTAAGTCTAAACATTCTATTACAAGAAATAATTGTTTTCCTGCAAACTTGAGACACTTATTTTTTCCATTTAAAGAGCCAGTGAATAATAAAATATAACATATACTCTTTTCTGATAAAAGCCCCACTAAACCCTCCCTTCAGAAGTTACACATTCTCTAGTATAGTCTCTTCCCCATTTGGTGTCTTCCATATAAGTTGGGTTGCTGTTTCCACCAACAGCCAAGACTGCAAGCATTTTTGAGAAAAGAATTCCATTATGGAGCAATATTAAAATAAGTTAAGGCATCCTTAACTTGATACAAATTGATAAGTAAGACACATAGTAATAAAATGATGAGCCTATTCAAATACATCTTGGATTTTAAAAAGTGGATTTTAATAAATTCAGAGAATGAAAAAGATAGGACTGAGCTTATGAATGATAGGAAATATCTATAACTTCCCAAAACCAAATGAACTGCACTCGGGGCATTGAAGGAATATCTTCTGATGGCCAAACCTTACAGTATTCTTAAGAAATTCTGGACAATGGACGAGGTGCTAGCTGCTGGGAAAACAAATACTCTATTTTAAAATGGGAAGGGTGGGGGATGAAATAATCTAGAGATTATAGACAAATCATTCTGACATTAAAAAAAAAGGGAAGTCTAGAGCACGTCCTAATGTGCTGTCCCACTGACATACACACACTCATCATGGTGTTAGGAGTCTTTATTAAGGCTTCCAAGCCTGAATTAGTATTCCCCAGCAATTCTGTATGCCAGCACCGGCTCACCCACAATGAGCTCAGCAGGCTACTCAAAAGAAGCCAGCACTAGTCCACAAGGCAAAGGCAAAGGTAAATCCACAGGGTAAATCCACAGGGTAAATCCACAGGGCAAAAGCAAGGCCACAAGGCAAAGGCAAGCTGAGAAGGCAAAAGCAATTCCACAGTTAAAGAGGCACAATCTGAAGTTCAAGGCAAGAACACAGAGCAAGGAATGGACATGTTCCCAGCATTGTTTCACTCGCCTTACTGAACTAAATAACTGCTTCCTGGTGCAGCCCCTCAAGAGGGACAAGGCTGCCTTTTTGCAAGTAGACTGGCTGATGATCTTCGTGCCTGCCTCCTCTCAGCCCTACGTGCTGTTGGATCTGGAGGAGGAGGAGGAGCCAGGTCTTCTTCATCTCCACTGACCAGCTGCAGCTGTGTGCCCTCTCCATAAGTCTCTGGGCTCCCCAGCTTCAGCTGTGCCTCTCCTGTCTCTAGCTCAGCCGGCTACTTGTCTGGTTGCTCCCTGTGCTCAGCCCCTCCGCTCTTGGCTTCTAGCCTTCAGCTGCATCCCTTCCTGACGTGCCTGAGACTGGCTCAGAACTCCAAACTAGCATCTGGGGAAGCATCTAGGGGAGTCGTCACACCGAAAGAGATTGTTTTCTAAGTGGTATAAGATTGGTCTGGTAATTGTCAGAAGGCCACATGAATGGTAACATGAATTTGTCAGGAAAGTTTGCCAAATTGATCTTATTCCAGATTAAGGAATAATGATTAATTATTCCTTAATCTGAAATAGGGTTTGCTTATTTTTAGTAAATGACAGAAATGCTACAATAAAACATAATTTTATTTTAGTAAAATATTTTACAAAGTACTTTGGCATTCTGATGAGCAAGCTAGTGTATGAATGTCATTACATTCACATATGTAGTTGAAAATCATACTTGGAGAATACTGTCAAAGGTTCCTCCTCAGAGTGGAATAAACACCAGTTGGAGTAAACCTCTGTATAGTCTTGGGCCCTGTGCAATTCCAGTTTTTATTAATGGCTTGGATGAAAGATGGAATGAATGCTTATTAAATTGCAGGTGATAGAAAATAAAGAAGGATATTTTAGAAGGCAAAAATAAAATTCAAAATTACTATGATGGGTGAGAGAAATATGCTAAGAGTTAAATATGAAAAGAGACAAATATAAAGTTCTTTTTAAAATACAAATCAAATGCACAAGAGTACAATTAGGGACATTTGGTGATAATGCTTGTGAAAAGTATTGATTACAAACTGAATCTTAGTTGGCTGTTAGGGTTTTTTTTTAAAAAACATAAAAGGCAAGAGGCATCCTATATAACATATCAATGGGTTTCACTTCATGTTTAATAAGTAAAAAGTATAAAAAAGCATATTGATAATATAGATGCATCCACAACTGAATTAAAAATTCTAATGGAATAATGTGTGATCAGTTTTAACAAGGTATAAGATAACTGAAATGAAAGTGTTTGTTTTTTCTCTTCAGGTAACTTGACTGTATTTCCTCTTCCCCTTGTGTTAGGGGTAACCGGTGCTGGCATTCTAATTTTAATTTTCATCATCATGCTTATTGTGTGTGTTATGATCAGAAAGAAGAATTCCAAAAAGCATTATTCTGGGTAAGGCACTATATTTGTTGTTTCTTTAGATATGTGAAAGTGGGGCTGGAGGAAAATGAAACATGAATTGTGCATTTATATTAAATTACTGGGACAGCTAGAAACCACATCCTTCTGTGCTTATAAATAATCAACTTCATGGTGTACATATATTCATATGTTGCTCCTCTTTGTGAGCATACGTCCATTAAGCTTAGTGTCCTTGAAAGTAGTCTAAAACTACTCCCTTGCAACTCTCAGAATGAAGGAGGCTGTGTCCCTATCAGGTTACATTCTGGATGGCACAACTTTTTTTCTAAGATTGGGGGTATGACTGCCAGTTCCTTTTACAACAGTCCGCTTTCCGTAGCTTTCCAATCTTGGTTTTGGGAAAACTGCCCTTCTGCTTTTTTCACTGGCTTTATCATATGCATGACTTCTTTTTGTTCCTGTTGCGCTCATGATGCCCCCTGTAATTTGGCTTTGAGGAACTTCTATTAAACAATATCTTCAAAGTGGATTATATGCCATGAAAAATTGGTTGATGGGCTCCTTTGAACTGGTGGTGGCACTTACTTTGCTTTATCACTTAATTCCAACAGAAATGCAGTTCTGTGCATAGAAAATTGGACATAGCAATTCTTTCAGGATCAATCATTTCTTGTCCTGACTTCTTGCTTTTGTAGATCCAGTAAATATTATTCATAAAGTGCTAAAAACTCAATTTGTACTGGGTGTACGTAATTGGCATCTTTTTTGTAACCTTTCAGAATTTAGAAAGTGCTGCAGTAGATGTCAGTGGTAAGGTTGAATGAGTGCAGTGAATTGGCTGTATATGCTCTGGTTCAGTGTGGCAAGCTTAATTTCCCTCGTGCATGTAACTGTTTCCATAACACTTGAATACTGATCTGCATCCGAGGATGCCAAGTCTTAATATGAATAATATTTTTTTTCATCAAGTGTATTATTTCTATAGGTTTGGGACTATCTTTGTTTAAAAGTATTGTTCTTTTGTGGTTGTCTCTAAGTACCAAACATTAACATTGATTTCATTGACTATACTGTGTTTCTGATGGTTACTAAGTGGTGGGATGTCTATTCTAGTAATTAGAAATAAGAACGTGTGTGTGTGTGTATATACACACATTTGTGTGTATATAATATATGATATCTAATTTCTAAATAAACTAACAGAGCTGTAACTGATTGAGATGGGTGGTGGTGGAAACTCTTGCATGGCAGTATCACAATGTCTATTCTTTCTTTGATTTTTTTTCCCTATTACTACTTTGGTATGCTGGGATTGGATCCTGCTTTTTATCTTCCTTTCCTTACAGAGATCCTGATATAGATGCAAGACTGGGAATGTAACAGGGCTGGGTCATCTCTTCCAGTCCCACTATATATCATGGTAACAAATCATGCCAGTAGTTCTTTGGTACTTCATGTCCATATGTATATAATTTCTGCCTCCCTTGCTTACTATCCTGCTAACATACTTCCAACACTTATGCTGAATTTCTGTTTTGTGGACTGTTGGTGAAGGGGCAGCATATCTCATCTATTGTCTGAATGTTGTTGTCTCATTTCTTCAGTTTTGGCAACAAGGCTATGTACCTTCAGAAGCAGCTAATTCAGATGCATGAATGAATGGAATATTTGGACTTTTTCATACTATGAGAAAAAATAAGGTTGCTGTCAGTAAAAAAATACACCTAAAAATATTTTATGCACAAACTGTGAATTCAGTATTATTAACTGGTTCAGTGCCGAGTTGCACATTCTCTTAGAATAGATTGCAGATGCTTATTTGTCCTTTGATCATTGTGTGCTGGGGTTTAGTCTTAATAAGAATGAAGCCCATTTGCTAGTACTTAAGTATGTTTTCTCAGTATTGTGTTTCTGTGTATTGCTTCATATCTCATGTCTGCCTTTTGAATGTTTAGTATTTATATTTGATAACAAAATTGATTAGTGGAGGGCTGCTTTCTGCTTAATCTCATTGTCATCTTGCCATGATCACACTTGCATATGCTTTTAAGTGATGCTTAAAAGTTTTGAACCTTTTAAAATTTTCAATATTTGGCGTCAATATGACCTAAAACATGATTTGTTTTCCACATAAGTCCTAAAACTAAATAAAGAGAACTCAATTAAACAAATGAGTCAAAGACATATTTGTTCATTTATTCATTGAGGAAAATGACCAAAAGCTACATATTTGAGTGTAGCAGAAGTTGCTGAACTTCTATGATTATCTGTTCATTTGAATGGAGAAATTAGAGTTAGATATTTCAGTGAATGGGATGATAATCAGATGTACATGTGTAGGGGCCTCTCCTTATTTAAAGAATAGAATTCTTGATAATCACAATCAAAGTCTGATCTTCACAACACAGGCATGTGGAAGTGTGCCTTTGCTTGAACAAGGTTTCTGAGGACCTCCAACAAAACAGTTGTTGATGCTTACCAGACTGGAAAAGGTTGTAAATCTATTTTCAAAGAGTTGGATTCCATCAGTCCACTGTAAAGCAGACTGTGTGCAAACGAAAACAATTGAACACCATTTTTGCCCTCCCCAGGACTAGTCAACAAATCAAGATTATACCAAGAGCAAGATGTGTAATGCTCTGAGAGGGCTCAAAGAAGCCCAGGGTAATGTCTGAGGAACTTAAGACCTCGCTTGAATTAGCATATGTCAGTATTCATGAGACCACTATTAGCAGATTACTGAACAATGGCAAGATTGCAAGAAGAAATGTACAGTTGTTGAATACAAGATGGGTGGCAAATACATTTTAGGAAGGAAGGAAGGAAGGAAGGAAGGAAGGAAGGAAGGAAGGAAGGAAGGAAGGAAGGAAGGAAGGAAGGAAAGTCATTATTTTCCCAAAAGAACATTGCTGCTCATTTACAGTTTGCAGAAAACCATGTAAATAAGGAAGACAGCTATTGGAAGAATGTTCTGTGGATGGATGAAACCAAAATAGAATGTTTTGGCTTGAATGAAGGCAAACACTGCAATCTACCAAAAAAAACCTTATCCCATCTGGGAAACATGGTAGTAGCAGTATCATGGTTTGAGCCTGCTTTTCTACCTCTAAACCAGCATGACTTGCTTGCCATCATTGATGGAACTATGAATTTTGAATTGTAACAGCAAATTCTATAGGAAAAGGTCAGGGTATCTGTGAACTGTAGCTCAAGAGAAAATGGATCAGGCAGCAAGACAACAACCCATAGTGTTACCTCCAAAGAATGTTTAAAGCAGGACTAAGTTAATGTTTAAAATGACCAGGTCAAAGCCCTGTCCTTAATTCTATAGAAATGTTGAGGATGAAGCTAAAATGGACAGCTGATGCAAGGAATGGGAAGCTACATAATTGGAAATGAAACAGTGGAAAAGTTGCTTATGTAAGAATTTCTATATATGGAGGAATGGACTAAAAGTCCTCCAAACTGATACACAGGACTGCTTAAAAGTCTCAAGAAACTTTTAGTTGCAATTATTGCTTTCCAAGGGGGGTACACTAGTTACGGAAAGATTCATATACCTTTTCCATGAAATAAGTAGCTTGGAATTATTTTCCTCAGTGAAAAAAGAACAAATAAAACATTTTTGATCCATTTGCTTAATTGGGTTCTCTTTATCTAATTTAGGCAATGTATGGAGAAAAATAATGTTTTAGGTCATAGATGTAGAAATATTGAAAATTCAGAAGGGTTCTCAAATTTTTAAGCATCACTCTGTATGCTATGTAGGAAGAAAACCAAACTAGATTAGATTTCCCCAATATGATAACTACAGATACTTTGGGATACAGTTCCCATCAGCAGCTATTGACCAAAACATTTGGAAATCTTATAAAAAGCTGATATATTGGGAAAGGGTTAATTACTATTCCTATTTTTAGAACCAAAGCTAGGTATTTCTCCTAGCAGCAAATTTTTGTATAGAAAAGTCACTTCCAGGTGATGTAGTACTGTCAATTCTATATGATCTGACAGAGTTGGCAGGTCTGGGTTCCATTGTTTAAGCATGGTCAATTCAGGAGATGCTGGAAGTTGTCTATCCAGCAGTAGCACCTTTTCTCCAGAGATGAAATCCCTTCTTGCCCTACCCTGATATTATTTAGATGAGTGCTTACAATCTAGCTTTTTCCCCAGGACCAGGGCTAGAATGAGTGGTAGGACCCTTGTTAATTGTTTTAATTTGTGAGATGATGGTATATATATATTATACCACACAGAGTCATAAGGGAGTTGGGTGGCTTTTAAATCTAATAAACTCTAAATTAAATCATATTAGATGAAGATGGCAGGGGAAGTTAATCCTCTATGTGGTTATGAGTTTCTTTACCTAACCTGGAGCTAGAATGACTTTCTTCTTTGTATGTGAGGGGAGAAAATATAGGCATGACTAACCTGAGCAAGTATAAAGCAAGGATGTACAGTATGTGTTGTCTGTCATTCACTGAGGTCACTCTATTTGGCCTAATGCCACCTCATCTTGCCATCACTTGCCTTTGTTTTTGTTTTGTCTTTTATTTACTTCTTGAATGTTATTCTGCAAAATCTGCTTGCCACCTCATCAGCTGCAGTACCTCTGAGAGCTTGATGTCTCCAGTTAAGCAGGCTCCACGGAAGTCCCCCTCCGACACAGAGGTTTTGGTAAACAGCGTGCCCATCCGATCTCATCAGGTAAATGGTGTCATACTCTGACTCAGAGATTATCTAGTGGCTGGAAAGGTGGTATTTTTGCTAAGGGGAGGAAAGGACGGTTCATCACTGAAACACATACATGGAAAAATATCTGGATAAAGCCTTGCTGTACTGGACCCTATGGTGAGGAATGTAGCTATCTTTTGGCTATTATTTTTGTGATATACTTGCTGTCTTTGGCAAAATTAAACTACTGCGGGGTGACTAATCTTAATAAATGATACATTTCTGTAGTGAGATAAATTATTAAAGGTTGTCTACCTTCATGTAGGTCTTCAGTTCTAGAAATTTGATTTATAGAGGATTGAGTAAATAGCTCTTCCACAGTAGTGTCTCAATTTCTTTCAGCTGTAATTATATGCCTTTGGGAATATTAAATATTTAATGTTTTAGATTCATATAGAATTGTAGGCATTATTATTATTATTTGCCCTCAGTCTTGGGCCACCACTAAATATTACTTAAGAGTATTACATCCAAAGAGACCGAGGGACTTTGGAATCAGGTATGGCGCTAAGGTAATAAGGCTGACTTGAAAAGGGGAAATAAATAATAGGTCTCTTTTTTTTCTACAGTGAATCATTTTTGTTGGATGGAAAGAAATAATAGAAATTGTATTGATTAGAAAAGATTATACTTTTTAAAATCTGTTCAAAGTTACCTATCTTAATAGAAAGTCATAGATGTGGTTTGAGATGCTTAAGTAAGGAATAAAATCTCATCAGAGAGCACAAAACAATTATGAAGTTCTCTTTGGAAAAATGAGAAATATATATACACACACACACATATACACACACACAAACACACACACACACAGAGGACAGGAGGCACTGGGAGACCACCCCACAGCAACGTGTATTCAGACACGACTAAAGTGAGCAAAGAGAGCGACGAGAGAGGCGATGACCCCGTACTTACAAATACACAGACGGATGTGAGACAGTTAGAAGCAATACGACAATCTGGGGTGAGTAGACCGGTTATGCGCTTCATGAGCAGAGCGCAGAAGCAGCTGGTCTTATAAGCAGGCTTTTGAACCTCCGGCATTCTACTCTCACGATGTCGGCAGTTAGCCGATGAAAGCTAAGTTTATTAAACAGTTGTTTTATATTTATCTTGTTGTTCGACTATTTTTCTCAACATGAATGTACCCGGGATTCTGGCTGATGAGAGCTATGTAGCTCGAAATAGCTATACCAGTCTCCAGTGCTTTTTTTTTTCTAAAAAAAAAAGGTGCCAGAACTCACACATGTCATAAACCTGCCTTGCCTACCCTACAAGGTTCCATCCAAAAAAGGTGCCGGAACTCCATTCTGGGCATTCTATGAGAAAAAAAGCCCTGCCAGTCTCCTTTTAACTCTTTGTTAGCAATCCAAATTTAACATACACACACACTCACACACAAACACACACACACACACAGAGAGAGAGAGAGAGAGAGAGAGAGAGATATTACTTATTGATAATTTGATGTTATAATACAAATTTAGCTATTTTCTAACTAACTTACACAGTTCCGCATGATATTTTCAGTGGTTGCAGTTGACTATTAGTAGTCTTGATTGTAAGTCCAGAAATTAGCTGGCAATATTTGTTTTATTAATTGCTAGAGTGTAGTGGGAAAGGAAAGAAATGGTAGTCTTTGTATGCCGAGTTCTGAAGGAATGATGTCAGCCATTTGACAACATGGAGTTTCTTGTCAGTTATGAATACCAGATGAGTGGGTAGTTAAATATAGACCTGGATTATGAACTCCTTAAAAGGATTAATGATATTGATGAAAATGTTGGTTTGCTTTGCTGCCTGGCAAATAGTTAATAACTGATGGATGAAGTTGACTTGGTTTTGGAGGCTATTCTTTGAATTTTATAATATAGTTGTAATAGTAAAGGAGGCACAGTGGCCTAGCAGTTAAGACACTTATGTTCAAGACCCAAGCATTATGTGATGAGATGAGCTCCCGTTATTTGGCCCAGCTCCTGCCAACTTAGCACTTTGAAAGCATGCAAATGTGAGTAGATAAATAGATACCACTTCGGTGGGAAGGTAACAGCATTCTGTGTGTATTTGGCATGTAGTCTTGCTGGCCACATGACTACGGAAATATCTTTGGACAAGGCTGAGTCTCTCGGCTAAGAAACGCGGAGGAGCACCACCCCCTACAATCAGGGCAAACTTTTACGTTTTACCTAGTAGTTGTAACAGTAGTTACAGTAGTGAATTAGTAGAAGTAAAAGGAAGTTGCACATGTAGTAGTGTATCGCTAATACACTATATACGTAATTGGTAGTTACACCAGTACTGCAATATACTATATTGCCCATTTGTTTAGAGAAAGATTATGATAAAATGATTACATTTGTGTTATGGAATTCAGTTAAAAATACAGGAGTTTGAACCCTGTTAGAGATTGTTTCTAACACAGTTCACAAACAGTGTGTGTTTCTTTGTGTTTATTTCCCAATGATGGCTTGCATATGAACACATCATATCTCTGAGAACATTGTATGAATACGAAAATGCATTCAGCCAGGCATGTTACAATAGAATTGTCATATCTACTCAGACAGACATTGTGTGGCAATCTACAGTTAATGATTTATTAAATTGTTGCCAACTTGATATTCACTGGACTTCTGCAGCCTATATGGAATCCCTATTCTACAGACTATTTTATGTTATTTTGATAGAGACATAAAAGAAGCTGTAATGAATTAAATCAAAAGAAATTATTTTTCTTAATATCAGTACAGATTCTCATGCCCAGTTAGTGTATCAGGGTACCGTTGATTTGTTTGGGAAATTTAGAATCAGAAGTGCTTTCTTTTGGAGCCCTTAAAAGTATATTAGAATATGTAGCATTTATCCCTTGGTTTATATCTTTTTTTCCTATACTTAAAATGCTACCAGTAGTTCTGGCAATGAATTAAAACACATCAAATTTAGAATTGGGATACTGTTATTTTATAATTATTTTCAGGCAATAATTTTCATGTGCACCAGAATGTGCCTTTCTGTAGAGATTTGTATTGCTGCTGTTAGAATAAGGAGGGGTTTTTACACACACACACACACACACACACACACACACACACACACACACACACACACACACACTGAAGAAGGCAGGGGGAAATTTAAAAAAAAAATCACCAGCTTAATACTGTACCTTCAAAGTAACAGCTTGTGCATTACCTATCCTAGTTGCCTGTTTACTTCCTAAATATTTAGTCCTAAAGTTGATTAACATTGCTTGTTCTGAAAGCAGAAACTTGTTGCCCAGGTTGGATTTCAGATGGCATGTCTGAAAACAGCCTTCATAAATTCATTCCATCTTCAGCTAGACTCATCAGGTTTGCCTTCTTGTCCTCATCAATAAATTCATCTGAACCAGAATTTCTCACAATTGTGCATGTTTGACTGGTATATAGTATTCTCCTTTTCTTTTGTTCATCTGTAGAATGCTTGATCATTTTGAATGTGATAATTAACTATGTTCTGTGCTTTCTAGGTCTAATACTGACCCGATTGGTTATCTGGGTTCCTATATGTACAATGAATAAATTAGAAGACAATATCTCAGTTACATAGCACTTCAGACAGTGCTTCTGAATGCTAAAATCTTTTTCCCGTGATTTCTACTAGAAACTTTTCTGGCAACGTGTACTGTATATTCTTCTTCTTTTTTCTGAAATACAATTATTCTTGCATACTTCTCCATGCTTATGCTTTTTTCTAGAGATTTATCTGGCAATATTTACTAGTTGTGTAAAACTAAGATATGATTAAAAGTGATTAAAATGTGTGTAAGGACCCACCTCAGCTAACCACCCAAGAAAGCAGAACTCTTGAAACAGGCATCGTCTCAAAAGGAACTTTTATTAGGGGTTAGTGACAGTAGGAAAGTCAAGGTGAGATCTGTGGAAAATCCTGCTTAAATTATATAATTAAACAAGCAATCTTTCTCCTCCCACCAAAGTCATAGTGTCCATTTGAAATCCAGCCAATCCACAGGTGGCATGATGTTTGGGTAACTGGCACAGTTGGTGTGCATCTCAGGGTCTTCTCCGGTTTTGTTTCTCCGTAACTGTCTCCCTGATAAGAGAGACACATTCTCTTCTCAAGTGGATAGAGGCGGGAGAGGGAAAAGTAGAAAGGGAAAGTCATCCCAAGCGAAAGCAAATTCCCCTCCCTCCCAGCAGAATGGCAGGCCCCAAACAAGAGGCATAAGGCATGGGAAAACAATAAGGATTTGGGGACCTGACAATGTGATTGCCCTTTCCAAGGATTGACATAAATCCAAATAATTTATTTAAATGAAATTCAAATAATTAACATAAAATGATTGCAGATTAGTACTTTTTGCAGCAAATTACTATTTATATAACTGATTACAGTTGGAAATTCCTGCAAGAGACTATGATGTTTCTCTGATCAACTCTCCTTGCTAGAAAATAGTTACATGTAGTAGCTAGAAAAAGCATGTTAAATAAAAAAAAGATGCAACTTCTTTTTAAGATGACAGCTGCGTATTAGGGAAAAATAAATTCTTCCCTCTTTTTTTCCTGCTTGTTTGCAGTTAACATAGACCTTATTGATTCTTTCCAATTATTTTTCTCCTTATAAAATGCTTCCTTATCTGCACTGTCAATCCATTAAACATTTCTGTACAGAAAGCAGATACATGAATTATTCAATAACTCTAATAGTTACAATGAAGCTATACATTATTACTTAAAGGTTTGAGGAGACTTATTCTGAAAAGTTACTATAATGAATATAATTTTGTACTCCAAATATTGTCAAGAAAGATTGACAGAGTTGTAAAATATAAATGCCTAGGAATTATTCTTCAGTTACTTGCTCCTTCCTTGTTGGTATTCCATATGCTTCCTTTTCTTAAATTACTGCCACCTATAGAAATAAATGTAATCTGTGATGGTAAGTGTGTGGAAAATCTTGTGAATTAGCTGTTAGCGGGGCTGTGATTGCTTGATGTACTTTTGAAGAAGAGTTCATTCTCTGCACTGTCTTTGACTATGTTGCCACATAAACTACAAATTATCTTATCTCCCCGAGGCATGAAAGCCAGAGAGCTATAAGCCATTTGCTGTGAATTTTATATTCGTTTATGTCAACAGATCGATGGTTACAGGAATAATCTACCGAATTGGTATGATTTCTAAGATTGGATTTCAAAAAGAGGAAATCAAATCCCTTGTTTTCATCTGCATGTGATTCTGAGTTTTCATTAGCCGCTGATAGAATAATTAAATGTTTATACCATGTTTATTTTTTTTTCTGTTTTTAGGGACCAGTAATTTATGCACAGTTAGATCACTCTGGAGGGCATTGCAGTGACAAAATCAACAAATCAGAGTCCGTGGTCTATGCTGACATTCGGAAGAACTGAGGAGATTACAACCTATCCAAAGCTTAACAAAAGTTCAAACTGGAATTGCTTGAAGAAAATTGACCCAGAGAACTCATATGTGGCCTTTGATGCCTAGGCTAAGACCAATGCATGTGCATACAGAGAGAAAGAGATTATATATGAACTGTGTGTAAATAGTCTATTTAATCATACAGAAATGAGAGCAATGTTGCATGTTAAAATATGATGATAATTCTGCTTATAAATGGCCAAATAGTTCATTATATATTTAGGAAAAGGGGGGAAAACAAACATTCATGTTACATCTTTAGGCAATTTGTCAATTGTTATATGGAAAAACTGGAAATACTTGGATATGCTAATGGAATTGGTACCTTTTTATGTTACTTTTGAAATGGACACAAGAACTACTTCTGCATGATTTCTCTTAATTAATATTTTTGCATTTTTTTTACAGGTCTAATTTTTCATACAACTTATGTCTTCTTCTACTCTAATGTCCTCCTTTTCCAGGAGAAGTAATCTTTACCTGCTTTAGTTTCCAACCTAATGGAAGGCAAAATTTTGTCTTCAAGGAATTTACAGGCAGTCTCCCATAAACAAACTTAGAGACATATAAAAGTTTTAATCAAGTAATTTTTTATAGTACAACATTAACAAATATCTTGAAATGTTTTTACGGCTCTTTTCTGGTTTCAGCAACAAAGATGAAACTCAGTTACCTCTTTGAGCAAAATAGGGTGCTGATTTTGATGTGCCTTTCTATAATCTATACATCTCTTCACAGTAGTCTACTTCTAAGAGTTACAAATGGCTGGTTGATGTTGCAGTTGCAAAAAGAAATGGGTTACAACTTAATCTTTTATGGCACTTCATGGAAGGCATAAATATATTAGGAGAGTTTTAGTGCCACTAGTTCAGTGGTTCTCAACCTTTTTAATGCCGCGACCCCCAACCGATCGTAAGTCGAGGACTAAACCGGTCGTAAGTTGAGGACTAAACCGGTCATAAGTCGAGGACTTTCCCTTCCCGGGAGCGCCGCGCATGCGTGGTTCCGCCCCCTGCGCTGGCCGAGGCGTAGCTGGCAAGCGGCAGAGATGGAGCAGGCCGAACACCAGCTGGCCCAGCTCAAGGGAGGTAAGGCACCCGCCGGAAAAGGAGAAAAAAATGGTGGACAGCCTTGCTTGGCGACCCCCGTGAAATGGTCGATCGACCCCAAATGGGGTCGCGACCCATAGGTTGAGAACCGCTGCACTAGTTCTTAAATCTCATTCAAATTTACTTTGAAACTTAAATAGCTGTGTACTTCTTTACTGTGGAAGAAGTCTGTTCCACTGCCTTTCATCTTTATGATGTCATTCCTATCAACTCTGAATCTGCTCTCTCTCCCTCTACCTCAGTGTTTCAGGTACACTGGTGCTATTGCTTTTTTCTTAAGTACTTTACATGTCTATAATATCTGCTCATACGTTTTTTTCAGCTTTTTACATTAAAAGTTTAAGGATTCTTTAAAAAAATGGAGCCTTTTCATTGAAACAAGGGCTGGCTAATATTAAATTGCTAGTCTGTGCAGCACACAAGAAATGTGCAGTTGGGTCTCCATATTTGTAGAGGTTATGTGTGAACATGCAAAACTTTAAATTCTCTGAAAATTTGTACTCTTGTCCCAACATCCCTAGATCTAAACACTTGGGCAGCTATTTAGAATTATCCAAAATATATTTAAATCTATTTTAAATGACTTCAGTGTGATTTAGAATAATGAGTAACATTTTGAGCCATATTTATGGAAACACTGTATCAAAATTATATTACATACTTTACTGTAATTAAGAACAAGGCATGCATCAGGGTATTCACCACAGAATTCATTACTCGTCAGTAATAGGGTCTCAGTGAGTGGCAAGAAATAGGGTTGGCTGATGCTGAGATTTCTGTTTTGAGGGGGATGAGGAGTTTTAGATGTTAATGTAGAAGTTGTCTTTTCAGGAACATTGTAATGGGAAGCTTTGTTTCTTTTGTTTGAATCTTTGAACTTTGCCATGAATGGTGTTAAAATATTCCTTGATCTTCATTACATAAATCATATTGTCATCATATTTCTAGAAGTCCAAACACATTTGGAATCAGTCATTGTGTTAGGTTTTTCAAGTTGAGCTGCTTCTTTGACATAGTTCTTTCTCAACTTCATCTTCATACTTGGAACAATGAAGCAACTTGGATTTATCATGATACTGTTGTTTCTTGCCTGTCAATTAAATCTCTACAACCTCATCCTCTATATCAGTGGTTCCCAACCTTTTCTATGCTTCACATTCCTAGGAAATGTTGGATTAATGTTCATAACCCCTACAAAAATATTACATTTGAAGATGAAGAAGTCTAATTTTTGAACAAGAAGTTGAATCATATCAATACTGCAGAAGAAATTAAACAATTAAATTCAATTTATTCAGAAAAAAATATAAAAGGTAAAATCAATCCCAACTGTGAACATAAAATTCAATGGCATCTTTGCTTCTGCTTCTCATTCATGATTTTGTCAAAAAGTGGAACTTTTTTTTTTTGCAGGACTGCAATTTGCAAGTATGCCTATGGATTCAGGCAATTTGTAGATTTTGTCTTGATTGACAAAAGATAACTGAATTTAGATTCACACGTATGTTGTTGCCAATGTAATGACATAGAGTTCTTTTCCACCAAGTCTTGGGAACATATCCAGCACTGCACACAAAAACTCTTCCAAAGTCTTGCTTTCAAATTACATTCCATGAGCTTGATTTGTCCACAAATCAATATGATTTTCCTTCAGCTCTTCATCATCTGGCATTTTCTCCAAATTGTAGGACTATGGATCCATAATCCATTCTTCTAAAACCTTCAGCTCTCCAGATCAAACAATGTTGACAGCATTTCTAAATGAACCACAACCTCATCACACACAGTAGGAATTATGGATCCAACATCATCAACCATTTTGTCAAGTAAAAGAAAATTTGAGAGATTGCCTCATTCTATTCTTCAAGATGAAATATATAAATTTTCTTTGAAGGCATTCAATTTTTCCCAAACCTTCAACATGTTTATCTTTTTTTAAAGAGAAACACTCAGGTCAGTCATATGAGTGAAAATGTTAGTTAAGCAAATCTATGTTTGGGCAAATTCCTTTGATTCTAATGCCCCAACAATATTACATTCATGCTCCTCCAAAAAAAACCTTTGATTTCTTCCCGCAGTTCAAAGAAGCAGGGTAAAGCTTGTCCTTGTGACAACAGACTTTTTTTGTGGAAAAGCAAAACTGAATGCTCACTTCCCAGATCCTCACAAAATGATTTGGAGATGTGATGGTTTAAAGTATGCTCCTTGACCCAGTTGATGATCTTCATACAAATATCAAGTACTTTAAATTTGGAGGCAATATTTTGATGCCAAAACATGCCAATGAAGAAAAAATGGATAACTTGCAAGTGTATAATTTTCTTTTTCACCAATGCAGAAAAGACATTTATTTCCAAGCATTACAGGTGCTGTGTCAATGCACATAGTACCAATTACCTTGACATCCAGATCATGCTTAGGGAAGAAGTCTTTCACCAACTGCATCACATCCTTTGCAGTTGTGTTTGTTTTCAGATCTTTACAAAGCAGGAAGTCACCCTTCACAGCACCATCATTGACATACCTCACTAATGTTGTGAGTTGACTACAGCTGGAGACATCAACTAAATGGAGATTTTGAAAGGACTAGTCTGACATTTGAGATGATTTGGGCCAAAATATCTTCATTCAAATCAATGATTTGTTTGTGAAGGACATTATTTGGTAGGGGCAACTGTTCAATATTTTTTCTTGCTGCTTTGCCCTGATAATTGTTGCCATTTCTACTGCACATTTATTGTTCGGATCTTCTGCAATAGTATTAGGCTTCTTGGATTTGGCCACTTTAGATGCCACTTTGTATGACACAAGAGGTAGGGTTTTTTTCAACAAAAATGCAGTCTAATTTTGGAAGAGTTTCTTGTGAATCAAAACAAGCTCTTTTGATTTTTGATGACTCAACATCATGTCCTTCAACATCAGCTGCCCAATGCTTATTCTTGAAATGCTCTTGAGGCTTGGATGGCTTCAGATTTGAGTTGTAAAATACAACACTGCAAAAAACGCACTGGGTCTTTTCCAAGCCATCGTTTCCTGTTGTGCAAGTGAAAAGAAAGCACAAATAGTCATCATTCCATTTTCTTTTTTTTGACATGAAGTCTTAGTTTGTAAAACAGAAAGAAAAATATATGACTAAGTGTGAGAAAAAGTATAATTAAATCAGGGATGTCTGCTTTATTCAGTCCGACATACCTATAGCAAAATATCACAAGAAATACACTTTCAAATGTTATATTAACGATATCTGAGTTTCATCAAGATAAATCATCAGGTGAAAACTCTACAGTAGGAATGTAAAACTCACAACGTCATATGACGTCGCGCGACATAAGTTTGATATGCCTGCTCTATAGGAATGTGACACAATTTATTAGGTAACTCATACCATGACGCTCACAATATGAGACGAATTCCTGCTGTGCATATATCAATGTATGATAGACACGATACATCACAACTATGTCATCTAATATTATTCACACAAGTGGGCTTATTTAAATGCACTGCTCGAGTGATGAAATTAGTGATGAACACTGTCAAAACGCATTCAACCAATGCCACAATTTATATGGTAGTAACTTCTGGAAGTGAATGACACTGTGTAGTTGGTCTATTTCATTACCAATAAACTTACATCTGGCTAGTATGAGTGAATGAATAGATTGGGCTACCAGAATATGGTGAAACGAACACACACAAAGGAGTTTACATCTCTTTCTATTCAAGCAGCTGGAGATTGGAGTGTGCTTGAGATAAAAAGGTACCTCCTGTCTTTTCTTCAATCCTTCCATCTTCAGTTCCTTTGATTATATATGGGAGAAGTCAGTGGCTATGAGGGAGGTATTTGATTGGTTGGATAAAATAGGGATAAGTGTGGGATTGGCCAAGTGAATTTAAGTGAGGTGGTAAGCAAGCTGAGAGGCCCTGAGGTGTGAAATACTTAAGGAACTCTTGAACTCATTAGTTTATGAGGGAAACATATGATCATGTCAGATTTTGCATTATAATGATTTTAAAAGCAGTACTCTGGCAATCAATTACTTCTATGTTAAGACTACGCAACACAACCACCTACTACCACTGCTCAAGGAATGTGGGTGGCTGGCTGAGTGATGATTCTGACTCATCACTAAGGGACACAAGCCACTTTTGGCTGCACTCCTTGAAATTCCATCTTGCACCTCCCAGAGGTGTGGGTAGGAAACCCAGGTTGGGAATCTGCTATAAAAACTTGTACCACTCCTTTAGTTCTTTGGGGGTTTCTTGTTTTGATTGTCTGGAATGGTTCCTAATTTGTCTGGATTTATGTAATGTAAACTTTGGACCAGTTTCTTCCAACAGGCATTTAGACTTGTCCTTGATGTTCTCCAGTGCATTATTTTTTGAAGTAATTATGATCTGTCTTGTAACTAGCTCAGTTTACACTACAGAGTTTTTCCTTTCTCTACTTAGTATGCTTTGGTAGAAGCAAAAGTAATTCAGTCAACACATGAGCCTGAAGCCCAAGTCTTGTTAAGAGATTACAAAATCATGTAACTGTCCGAAACACTTCATAATTGTTTCTATTTCTGTATGCTGAGTTGCACTTTTCACGTATTGAATTCAGATTCCAAACTAAAGTACAAAAATCTCTCAACTTATGTATGAGCAGTGTTTTTGTGGTGCTGTACTTTTCTATAAAAGACAAATGACTTCCAGTTGTGAAAGTTAACTTCCCAAACTTTAGACGTGCTAAGATTTCCTGTCACTAGGTAAATCCATTCCATGCAACACTGAGCCCTTTTTTTACCTTGTTTCTGCACTTTTAAAAAACTGGAATTTTTTTATTGTACAAGTCTTCTTTCTTCTCCATATTCTCATAAGCAGCTTTATATTGTACTCTTGTGAATATTTTAATAAACCTTTTTCATTAGTGGCCTGTTGTATGTCTCAATTTGTCAATCTACTATGATAGACAATGGAATAATTTGTACCTTAAATGGGTAGTCAGAATTCAAATAGCTGGATTCATATCATACACAGCCAGAAAAGATTTTATTTTATTTGTTTTGGCTTAACTCAGTGGGTTTACTTGCCATATAGTGTAAGCAAACCAGAGCAAAACAATTAGTGTGCCCATTCAATGAAGGGTAAATGTGGAGTGGAGAGATAGAAATGACTATCTACAGTATTTTCATGTTTACCCAGAAGGGAAAAAGCATGTTGCAGAGACTGTTACAACATACATTCCCTGTGTTGGGACACAAAGAAACATGTTTTATTTTTTTAAGGCTAGTTCTTCAATTTTAAAACAAGGCATTGCTCAGGTTGCATAAGTAGTCAAAATAGTTGAAAACTATAAATGATATTTATATGTAGCTTGTGGCTTTCCAAATTTTGCAACATACAGTAACCCCAGCCAGCATATTTAATACTGAATGGTACTGGAAATTGTAGATCTACATCTAAAGATGCATAATTCCTATCTTTACACTGCTGAACTCTTACTTCTGGCTCCAGTGTTATTCACTTCCCTCCTGAATAAAAGGGAACTCGGATAGTAATTCTTAAAATGTGGGTAAGCAACAACCTATCTATAGCAACCTCCCCTGTATCCATGAAGTCTCTAGAGCATTAAATACCCATACATCCATACAATCAGGCAAGGCAGTATTGTTATATACAATTGCTTTATTCTGAAGTGCTGCTGTCTATCCAAGGAAAGGGAAGAGAAGGAAAAAGACTCCACTGATATTACCAGGTAAGCAGGAAGGCTTGGAAATCATAATGAGTTATACGAGAAATAAATGTGTTTAACCAAGATGAGAAGCAGCAGTAAGATAACTGGAGCAAAGATATGCAATTTAACACATAGGAAGGAATAGCACAGGCATAGAATTAGCAAAACATAGGCCAGGGAGCTAATGGGTAAAGAAAGTAACAAATAGAAATGGAAGTGAAGATGGAGGGTACTGAGAGAAGAATGTGGGCTAATGATGCGGAGTGAGAGAGATCTTGTGGGCTCAGATCTCATATTTTTTACTTAAAGAACTTAACTGGCTGCCTATCCTGCATAGTATCCTAGGTGGCTCATAGCAAAACCAATAAAAATAAAATCCCAACAAGGCATTATAGTAACCCATGCTACTAATCCCATGACATAGCCCCATCCTACCCTAATGCCTAAGGGAAGAAGGCCTCCCTCATCTCAGGTTAGAGGCTGTTTCAAAGGGCAGGGGCAGCTATATGGAAAGCATGCTCCCAGGACCCGACTAGGTGACAATGTTTGAGGGAAGGCCCCTAAAGTGTCCCCTATCTAATCTAATGGGATGGAAAGATATCCTAAAGGGGAGGCAGTTGGTCAAATAATCTGGCCCTTTGCCACGTAGGGCTTTAAAAGTGATAACCAGCACCTTGAATTGTACTTGGAAAACAAATGGAAACCAATGCAGCTCAAGCAACGGTGCTATAGCACAAGCACACGTGTGGTGTAGGATCCATTGCAGTAATCAAAGTGTGTCTCTGGGCCAATGGAGTTCAGGAGCACTCTGAAAAAGTAACATTTCTCTAGCTACGTAAAAACAAAATATAATATAAATGCCAATCTTCCACAAAGCACTTTTTTTTTTAAAAAAAAAATGATACTATGATTCTGATGAATTTTCATATTTTGAAAAAGTGAATATTTTAAAATATAGAAAAATATATGAATTCGGTCCTGCCCTGTCTCCAGTTTTACAGTAGTTTGTGCTGTTTGGGCCATTGGATCTATAGCTATTAAGACTGCAGCAATGTTGAAGAAGAAAATATATTTGGCATCTATGCATATGTCAGCACCTCCTGAAACCTAATATGTCTTTTTCTGATTATGAAGTGGCAGTTCCCTAAGCCTGGAAAAGATTATATTTAAGTTGCTGGTGAAAGATATGTGAGACCCCTGAATCGCCTAAGTCACATTTTCCCCTTCAAATTCAGGTTTCTGAGAGTCGGAAAAGTCACCTTGCTTCTGTCCTTAAAAATACATGCATCAGTTGCATTTGGGCTTAAGAAGAGACTTGGAACTTATTAAAGAGTTTATTTAAATGCAAAGAGGTTGCTTTCTAACTTTATAGAAAAGCATGCTCTACCACTTTTAGTAAAAAGTCACACTAGGCAACTGAACAGGATTAAAACTAGGTCCCTTAGGAAGTAGTTTATGTTGAGATTAGAAGAAATTAAGTAGAATTTCTACTGCTGCTTTTCCAGTTCCTTGGCTTTTAACTCTTGGTTATACCTGTCAGAAAAAAGAGAATACAAATTATTCACTATTGCCAACATATTGTGAAGAAGAAAAAAACCATTGCATTAAATTAGAAATTATATTTTTATTTTTGTTTTTCCTATCAGTTCTTTAAAAACATGGTTGATATTCAATAAGAACTATAACTAAACTGCATTGATTTTAATTTGCTTGTAATTTAATTCAAGAGACAGGTTTTATTATATATTTCATTTAAGGAAGGCTATCAGATCTGGACTGCAAAAATCTGGACAACCATTAAATGTCAGGAAAACATTTGTATTTTTGCTGGATCTGGTAAATGTATGAAGTTTTGCAGTTCAGATCTGGTAGGTCCTTTTTTAAATCAAAGTAGCTGGCAAAGTTTATTTGTGCACATACATGTTTCCTTCTAGTCTAGTAGCATGACTTGTTAGGAAAGTTCAGCTTCATATTATACTAATTCAAAAATGCCACTGCACAATCTAAAATTATATCACTTAAGCTTGCTATAAATATGTATTTTCAGTTAGTAGAAACTGGTTTATAACAGTGCAGTACTTTTAGCAAGATGAAACCTCAAAATAAGTGGTTTTCCATTTTCTACTACATTCTACTGAGATATTTTTTTCACATCCCAATATAGCCTATATCCCTGGAATCTTTTGGTAATCGCTTATCCAGATACAAAAAAAGATCTAGTCCTATTGTAGCTTTTTCAGGATATGTCAAAATTTCCTAGGTCTTGCCACCTGCTCCAATAATACTGTTACTAAACAGAAGATGAGTAACACATACCGTGTGGATTGCATAAAATGAGAGTAATCAGTAGAAAAAGCAGACCAGCATTTTCCCAAGGACTTTGTTTAAGATAGGCAATGTTCAAAGCAAAGAGGAGCAAGGTAGTTTCTACCAGGTCATCAATTTGCATTATACAAGGAAAACAATGGGTTTGAATAAATCTAGATAACTGAAATATTATCTACTACCAGCCTAAGAAAAATCGCTTCTATTGAACCAAGACTGTTATAGTAGGCTTTCAAAGACTGGCCTGCTAAGGAACCAACTAATCGTATCCTACAGATACTACTACTACTATTAGTTCAGATGAGCTGAACGAAGGAGAACCAAAGATTACACTATTAGCTAATAAGGCATCTAATGCTTCGATCCCTTGTTGGACAGTTTTTGTTGTCGTTGTTTAAAAAAACAGGAATTACTTTTTACAGATTTCTAACACTGACCAGCCCCAACTCCCTATAATAATAGTTGGGAATAGGACCAGACACCAACATGGGAAAAAATGGTTGGGAGGGCTCCCCTTTTTTCCCCCTTCTCTGGTCCTATCATACAGTCTTTCCTATTTTTAAAAATGTTGGAGGTATAACTTTCAGAATTAAACCATAGAATACAACATTGGCAAACATTCTTCCTAACTACCTACCTCCATATGCGGTACAGCTGAGAGCCACCAGCACAGCCAAGAAAGAAATTAACAGTAAACAGGCCCCAGTTTTTAGGAATAATTACTAGAGAATACCTTGACCAGATAAGGCCTGTTGAATTAGAAAACAAAATACAGATCTATTACCAATTTAAAATAACGATTGCATTCTCAAAATTTATCAATTCTATTTGGTAAACTTCACAGTTTCTCCCTTTCAATCTACTCTCTCATCAAGTTTATTCAGTAATTATAGGATTGCTGTTATTTCCCTTATAGCTGAATGAAAGCTTGCAGCATCTAGAATTATTATCTTAATCTAAAACCCAGAAGATCTGTAGATTTGCTAGTACAAGAAAAGTATATGTTTGAATGGCAGATTAAAAATGTTATTGAACAGTTCTGTTATCTAGCAATGAACTAGCAATAAAGTACTGCATAGAGTTTTGGCTCACATTTTTTACTGTCATGAGATGAAACAGGAACTAATGTTTGAAACTTGCAACCTGTAACACTTGTAAAAATCATGTATGTAAACCAATTAATTACACTTTTACAGCAATGTACAGATTGTAGCCAGTTTAATTTTCAGAATAGAATTTAGCAATATTCCTTACATCTCTGCTGAAAGTCAATAATTTATATAAAGGGAAATCTCCTTTACTGTCTGTTCAAATTTACAAAGGTAATAAAAAATAACTTTGGGACCAAGGTGCACATTTACGATCTTCGGAGTTTTTCTCAGTCACGTGATTACCATTACAGCCAGTATCTGTTGTCCTGTGCCTGACCCATTTCCCCCCTCATAGGGTAGAAAAATTGGAAACTATTACAAGAAATAACACACAATAAAGTGGCTGTTTGCCTAGCGCACTCACAGCTTCCAGCCTGAGTGTACTCGGAGTTGTAGGCACTAGGGCATTCCTTTCAATGTGTATTCCCTATTGCGTGGCTGTTTATTTTCTTGTTATGTATTCCTTTCCAATGAATGCAAATACAAATATTAATTCCCTTCTTGCTAATTATCCCAGCACTGGTTAAACATTTCAAAGGGCAGGGGAGTAGGGAAAAAGGAAAGAAAGACAAAGTATAGTCATAAGCACAGTTGCAATTATGTGATTTCTGCCTTGGGGACTGCATCATTTAGCAATCAAGTTGCCAGTCCCAACTGTGGTTGCTAGACAAGGACTACGTATTTAACCTAAGCAAAATTTCTAGATTAATGTACTTCTGGTTCAAATATATCTATTTTTAGGTGTTCCGGTTAGACAGTCAGGTAAACATAATAATTATATAAACATTTCTAAAATTTTGTATCTATATTTCCAAGTATATGGCTTGAAAACCTTTCATAAAATAAATTGTTGGTTCAGTTTTGTCTTGGTATTAAAATAGAGCTGATGATTTAATCTTTGTTTCCTATACTAGATAATTAAAAGAGAATACATACATACCTGTAGCCGTTAGGACGGCAGATTGTGAAGTGCTGAGTTTTTCAGCAGGCCTAGTCATATCAGCCATTCCAGCACATACCAAACCCTGCAATAGGGAAGCAATAGCTTAATTTAATGTGTCAGTAATAGTACTTTCATTTTTTATTAATACCAAAGTGCTACAGTCTAAACCAGCAGTTCTCAAAGTATGATCTAGGGGTCCTCTCCTTTGTCCTTGAAGTCAAATAAATAAATAGTTTTAAATTTCTCAGTTTTAATTTCTAATACAATAAATATTGATAGATATAACTCACATAAATCAAAGCTCTTTGGGTGTCTTCTATCATTTTTAAGAATGCAAAGGGGCCCTGAGACCAAACTGTTTGAGAACCACTGGTCTACATCATTCAGTTTGAAATCATATATTTCATGCATGCCATTTAGATAGCTGGGAGTTACATGTTCCAGTCCATTTTGAGTTTTAAACTGGGTCAAGGAGAAAACTGGGATTTGAGTGGTACATAATTCCATATCAATGCAATGGACTGGCATTAACATGTATCAAATAAAACCATGTTGATTTGGGGCTCAATTTAATCTATATCCCGATATATATGAGTCATACAAACCCGAGTTGCTCTCTCATTTTTGTGATTTCACTTTTCAGCCTACTTCCATGGTCTCATGGGGGGACGAGGGAGGAGAAGGGACATGAAAAATGGGCAGATCTGACTAATGACTATGCCTCTCCCAAATTGTCCGTGATAATGCTGACCACAATCATGACATTGTAGATTTTCCCATTCCAATGAGACAGAAAGTAGGAAGGGAAGTGATAGCTTCCCAACCTCCTTTACAATGGCCAAAATGACTATAAATAACCAGCCCAGATATTTCAGATTGTGTTCAATTGGCACAGGAAGATTTTATTACTTACTTATCATGAAATGTATATGTTATCCATCTTGCCAAGAGGTGACTCAAGGCGGCTTACAACAAGTTGAGGAAATTGTATAAAAGATGGGATTAATGGGTCAGCCATATTGTCCTAACACAGGGGTGTCAAACTGCCAGACCACGGGCTGGATGCTTCGTGAGGAAGCTGCACCCACCCCAGCTCCAGCAAGGGGAAAAATGTGATACGTCAAGACACATAATGTGACACAGCGAGTTTGACACCACTGTCCTAACAGGACCATTATGTTAGAATCTAACTTATCTATAATGTGTTCCTTATTTAGGTCTGGCTACATAACTAAAAGTATTTTTAATATAGACTTTTGGGAAATTCCATTGCATCTAAAACAGGGGTTCTCAACCTTGGCAACTTTAAGACTTGTGGACTTCAACTGGCTGAGGAATTCTGGGAGTTGAAGTCCACAAGTCTTAAAGTTGCCAAGGTTGAGAACCCCTGATCTAAAATCTGACAGAGATATTAACCAATAATTTTTTTTCATCAAGTTCTCAGATAACATTTCACACAATGAGAAAGGATTTTTTTTCTCAAAGATTAGGTTAATATGATCTTTGACTATGCAAAATAAAGTGCTTGTCTACCAGGAGACCTTCCAGTAAACCAATTTTTTTTAACTACAGTTAAAGTATACAACTGGTCTTTAACACAGGAAACACTAGAATTATGTACGTTTTGTATGAACCATCAAATCAACTTACCCATTTCATAACAGGTGCCCAAAAAAAGACTGTTTTGGGACCTGCAAGAGAAGATTTTACTTAGTCTCAAAAGCTATTAAATTCATTTCAATAAAACATTTTTTAATCTGCAAGCCACAAAAGAAGCAAGTTACAATTAAATTTCTCTGAGTAAAACCTCTGTAGTAGTTTGTCAGGTCTTGCAATTCATGAAGTATATCCACGTTGCAGAAAAAAGGGATTGTGATGATGACAAAAATACATTTTTCCCAAATGAATTAAATAATGCAGCTTTTCTTCATTTGTAGAAAATGTTTCATGTTTATTTATTTATTTATTTGCAAAATTTATATTGCCGCCTACTTGCTCATGGCAACTCAAGGTGGCTTATAGGAAATAAAAACACAATATAAAAGAAATAAAAATAATAAAAATAAAATAATAAAATAATATCTCCCCCACCCCCCAGTAACCACACACACTCATACCAGTGATTCAATGGGCTCCATCCTGCTCTGGGTTTCACAGACCCACTGGCAGAACCACATCTTCAGGGCCTTCCGAAAGAGTGTCAGAATGGGGGTCAGTCTAATTTCCGGAGGGATGATGTTCCAGAGGGAGGGAGCCAGCACGGAGAAGGCCTTTCTTCTGGATCCTGTCAGATGTATCCCCTTAGGGGCCGGGACCCATAACATCCCTCTCTGCTCTAGTGGGTTGGGTGGATATGACCAACAAGAGATGGTCCCTCAGATAACCTGGTCCCAAGTCATGAAGGGCTTTAAAGGTGACAGCAGCACCTTGAATTGCACCCGGAAGCAAATTGGGAACCAATGCAACTCCCGCAGGAGAGGTAATACATGTGCACACTGAAGTCTGCACAAAACCATGCGGGCCACTGCATTTTGCACCAACTGGAGCTTCCAGATGCTTTTCAAGGGCAGCCCCATGTAGAGCATGTTGCAATAGAAAAGATGGGAGGTGACAGGGCATGAGTGACCGTGAGTAGGGATTGTTGGTCCAGGAAAGGGCGTAACTGGCGCACAACTTGTAGTTGCACAAAGGCCCTCCTGACCATGACTGCCACCTGCCATTCAAGCAGAAATCATGAGTCCAGGAGAACCACCGGATTGCACACTGGGTCTGTTTGGGGCAGTGCCACCCCATCCAAGACCAAAGGAGGCAATTCTCCATGGATCAAAGAACCCAAACCCAGAGTCTTGCCAGGGTTCAGTTTCAATCTGTTGCTCCCTATCCAGCCCCTAAGAGCCTCCAGGCATTGCGAGAGGGAAATCATGGCATCGCTTAACTCACCACAGGCTGAGATACACAGCTGAGTATCATCAGCATATTGATGATATCTCAGTCCATGGTGACAGATGATCTCACCCAACAGCTTCATGTAGATGTTGAATAGGAGCGGAAAGAGTACTGAATCCTGCAACACCCTGCAAAGTAGTGGGCGAGGGCTGGATCTCTCGCCCCCTATTAACACTCACTGAGCGGCCACAGAGGAAGGAAGTGAACCAGGATAGCATAAAGTCTCCCACTCCCAACCCCTGAAGCTGTTCCAGGATACCATGGTCGATGGTATTGAAAGCTGCCGAGAGGTCAAGTAAACCAAGGATGGGTGCACTACCTACATCCCGCTCTCGCCAGAGATCATCAAAAAGCATGACCAATGTTGTTTCTGTGCCATATATAGGCCTGAATCCAGACTGGTAGGGATCTAGATAATCCGTTTCATCCAGAAACCTCTTGAGCTGCCGTGCAACCACCTTCTCAACTATCTTCCCCCAAAAGGGAAGACTGCAGACAGGTTGGAAATTATCCAACAGGGTGGAATCCAGCGATGGCTTCTTGAGGAGAGGGCGGACCCCAGTCTCTTATGTTAACAGTTATTTGTACCTACATAGAAAAAAATCTTTATGGTAAACTCTTAACAGTAAACTCTTGATTCTACCAGTCAGAAGTATAACAATAAATAAGTGAATGCAAATAAATAAATAACACCTCCTGCTGTGAAATTAACCTCAAATGTAACCAACTAGTATGTAAGTATGGATAGAACTATCAGAAGTGCTTTGGGTCATCATAATAAGTGGGACAAAAATAAACAGTAAAAATAAAAAAATTATATAAGTAAACTTTAGAGAGTCAATTTAGTGTAGAAGTTAAAGCACCAGGCTAGAACAGGAAACCATGATTTCTAGTCCTACCTTAGGTACAAATACAGCTGGATGACCTTAGGCCAACAATTCTCTCTCATATTGGAGGTGGAAGGATAGACCTACTTATACAATGGAAATCCCCCTTATTTTCCTAACTTTTCCCCAGATGCTATTGGATTCACTCAAATATTGTAGTCTCCCAATATTTGGTACAGTAAAATATCTAAAATGGATTCATAAAGCTGCTTTTTTTTCTAGGTCATAGAACTTTATACAATATTTTCTTCTGTTTTCTAATGATGAACCTGATCAAACTGCTCTTACATTTTCATTTTCTATTGTTATCCCACAGAGATAGTATCTGTAAAATCACTCAGCTTAGGGATCACATAGGTTTATAATATAATTTAAGAAATGTAAATTGCTATTTGTAAAGAGAAATAATCCCAAATACAATACTGCTCACTAGAAATAATTTCTCTGAAAACTATCCAAGAACCTTCTAAAATTAATCCAAAGGATGGATGATTTTTTTGTAATAATTGGCTTCCTTTTTGAAATGTCAGGTGCTGCAAGGGAAATTGCTTTTCATGCTGAAAGTTAGGAGATTGCATACAAAGCCTCCAAAAAAAAAAGCAAATATTATTTATAAGTAATTATGGATGTATAAAATGTATTGGACCATTCTACAAAACTGTTCTATTCCTTCTGGACCCTATTGGCAGAGGGTTCAGCATTTTCCAGAAGTAAACCCTCCAAAGCAGAAGCAGGTCAAGATGTTCTAGATGTAAGCATTCTGCATGAAACATTAGACTCATTAGAATACTTTATTTGGCCAAGTGTGATTAGACACACAAGGAATTGTCTGGTGCAGAAGCTCTGTGTACATGCAAAGGATCAGAGTAATAATAACCATAATGATAATACCAAAAATACACTGGAGTAAAGAAGATAAGACAGATAATAATGCTACAGCCATACAACATGGGTAAATGTACATAGACATTAAACAGTACTGTAAGAATTAGGTGTTCAGCAGAGTGATGGCATGAGGGAAGAAACTGTCCCTGTGTCTAGTTGTTTTGGCATGCAATGCCTTATAGCAGTGTCCTAAGGGGAGGAGAACAGATCTATTTCAGGGTTGGATCACACTAAGAATATCTCAAAATCATTTCCAGTTTGAAGGATGTAGTTCCAGGCACAAAAACAAAAACAAAGCTTTATCTCTGTTTTAGCTAGAAAAATGCAATTAATCACACTTCTGGTAAGCCCTGATGACAAACTGACATTTGTCTAAAAGAGAGAAACCCATTGTGGCTGAAATGGCACCTGATTGCAGGAACTGGGCATCTGAAATCTCTCTGAAATTAAAGAGATTATCAGATTATCCACATAGCTGTTATTTTGCAGGTTATTTTGTGACCAGAAAAAATGTAAGTCCAACTCCTATTTAGGAATAAGTTTTAAGTAGTGTCCTTGAATGTCCAAGGACCTAAGGACAATATGAGCAAAACAGCATGCTTTAGTGTTTTAGACTTCAGTCTTTTACATACTTGTTGGGGTTGATGAATATTGAAATCCAAACTACTTAGCAGGCATCAGCTGGCCTCTCTTTTGACATGGATATTTTGTTTTCATTCTGGTCCTTTAAATTCCAGCATTTCCACTCATCATGGCCAATAGCTATGCTGCGCCAGGAATTCTGGAGCTTGTTACTCATTATACTTGGAAAGCACTAAGTTCAGTAATATTCTAGGGCAGACATGTCAAACACAAGGTCCGGGGGCCAGATGCGGCCCACGAAGTGGTTTCATGTGGCCCGCGAAGCCATCCTGGAAACAGTGAGGGAACGGCCCCCGCTGCCTTGGCCCTGGCCCAGGCCAGCTGGGAGCCAATGTACAATTTTATGGTGGCCATCTATGCTGAAACGCATTCAGTCTTAGCTCCATAAGCCCCCCCCCGCGTGGCCTGAGAGGAGCAGTGAGGTTCCTCCAGTGGACCATGCCTTGGCACTTGCCCTGGTCCCACCCCCTTCTGCCAGAGACCCTCAGATCTATCCCACTCCTGCCCAGGCCCCCACAGGCATCCTTGACGCGAACGATGTAGAGCTGGCCACACCCACCCAGTAGGCCACACCCACTCCATCCATGCCCACCCAGTAGGCCGCACCCATCCTGGCCACACCCACCTGGCCCCGAGGGCAACCGCAATGCTGATGCGGTCCTCAATGAAATTGAGTTTGACACCCCTATTCTAGGGTATGTATTGCATCTCTGAGTAGTGTATTTTTTTTAAAAAAAAATACTTTTCTGTTATTTTAAAGATGTTCTGGACATTAATATTTCACATCATTCTACAGAAGTATTTGATAACCACCTTGCAAACTAAAGTTAGTACTCTGAGGTACTCCGTTCTAATTAAATCTTTCAGAAAACTATTGAAATTTAGTGGTATGTATGTATCTTTTATATTAACTAGTAGGTGCAGAGACAAGGAGGATAACAAAGCTCTACTGAATTCAAGAAATGTTCTCAATGAACAACTCATGGCAAACCCGGATATGCCCTTGCATAAATAATAATGTTGCGATCATGAGATTCTTAAATGATATAAGATGGAATAAAGGTTGTGACAATTATTGTAAAATAAAGTTTAAGAAGTTTAAAGGTTTCCCCTGCCCAATTGTGACCAATTCAAGGGGCAGTGCTCATCTCCAATTCCCAGCCAAGAGCCTGCATTGTCTGAGAGATAATTCTGTCATCGTGGCCAGCATGAAAATACAGAATGCAATAACCTCCTGCCGAAGTGGTACCTATTTATCTATTTGCATTTGCATGCTTTCAAACTACTAGGTTGGCAGAAGCTGGAGTGAATAAGGGAAGCTCACCCCGTCG